CAAACATCTCTTTGAATGTATCTTCAGATCACCTTATTCATAGGAGTATATCAGTAATTTATTTAGTCACATTTTTACAAATAAATATTTAATGATTTTGTTGGCATAGACATAGAGAAACGTGATTTTTCTGCTCTCAGTTAAATTTCTGGTATTGCCTATGTCTTCTGATCGTTCCCCTTTCCTTTTCTCCAAGGTGGATATAGATATAWTTTTTTTTCTTGATTTTAGGTATTTGGAAACATTGAGAAAATCTATAAGTAGGAAGTAACTTTTCCTAAAAATATAATAAAACTAATATTATATTAATTTTATGGTTTAAATTAGCTGAAACTCAATGGTGGTTTTGAATGTGTGCTTCTCTGGACTTATATCAAAATCTTTCATTACCAAATGAAGTTTTATTACCCAGTAATACAGAAGCCTTATTTTGTAGAGTTTCTTTTTGTAAAACATAATAAAAGGAGCTCCAATAACTTGGTGAATCAGTTTGGCATATAAAAATAGAAATTCAGTTTTATATGATTAGTATAAAATCCTTTATTTTTCTGTGACCTACAGGCAAGGATTTTGGTACCCTTTTTATTAGARCCAAAGCTAAAACAGCAGAGATTTTTTTCTTCTTTTAGACTCCGTCAGAAGATTTAGGCCAAATTATTTAAAAATCCTTTCATGTTTTTCTGATTCAACTATGTCCTATTTTAGCTCTCTGTGATGATGAAAATTTTCGTGAAATCCCTAAACTTGTGATCATAATCTCCCTGTGCCCTGAAAGACTCTTGTGAAATGGAATGAATTAATTCATGTGCCAGGCTAATTGTTGTCAGTTTGGTACATCCTCTCACGCTCTCATCCCCTCACTTGGGAAACGTCATGGAAAATGCCTTCTAAAATGCTAAATCCTTCTTTCTCAGGTTCATTTAAATTCAGCTGGAGCTTCTGGAARGCAAGCAACTGTTGAAAATTAAGCAATTAGCCTGCATGCTTAAGAAAACCACATCCACCATTATGGTTTATATATTATTCGATGTTATTGATCTGAACTGCTTAATTAATATTTGAGAATTCATTAGSATAAATAAATTATTTTCAAACCATACCAAAATTCTCTGAACTTTTCATCTGAGAAATTCTGATAATGTCAGTAAGATCTAAAAGGAAGATTGAACATGGTGCATGTTAAGGTGGAAAATTATTGTTCTCTGCTTTCCTTTTTTTTGTCTTTTTGGTTACCAAAATATTGTGCACTACATTTGAAAAGTGGCTGGGGTAATTAAAGGAAGGGTCGTTACTTGCTGGAGGATATCCATATTTCAGAAGGTTAAAGTTCCATGAGGAAAAAGAAAAATAGWGTGTAATTGYAGAATAGAGAAATGACTATAATATTGTGTGCTATTTTCTCTGTTGTGAAAGTAGTTTTAAATTAAGCTGAGCAAATGTTTTGCATCTTTAAGTGTTCTGTTCTAAATGAACCATACTCAATACTAAAACCTCTACTTGGTGAGAATGCTCTAACACCTCTCAGTTTCTTCTACAGGGCTCCTCTCAGGATTTCTTTTAAAAATACTTCCATTTTTCTATAGTCTTGTAATAAGTCATATATGTTACAAGGAGAGATAAATGATAGAGAAGGCACTGAAAGCAATTTAAAAGTGAGCCTGTCTTTGAAGGCTCATTCCTTTTTCATTGGAAGGCTAGATGGATGATTTAAACTGCTCCTGGCTCTGCTTTAGTCTTGGTTCTGTTATTTATTGTAAATCCATTTACAAAAACAAAGAACCAGAAATGACTGTGCTGTTTGAGAGCTCAGTTCTAATTGGATAACCTACACAAATTAYAGTCAGTCCCCTAGAATGTTTTGCAGCTATGGAGTATTAGGATCAGAGATTTTGGGGTTTTAGGCAACAATCTAATCACAGGGCTCTACACATAGATCTCCCTTAGGCAGGACTGGTTTTACACATTCTTTGCATGTGCATTTTTGGCCATTCTAAATATCTCTGATGTGTATTGAAGTAATTTGCCAACTCCTGACTAACTTTCATTATAATTTGAAAGCCTCTGGATGTGTAATATCTGAACTCAGGTGTGTGAATGTTGCTGGGGGAATGCAGGTCACAGAGCAGGATAGAACAGAGGATAAAGCACTTTCAGCTGAAGAGATCTGGCTGTAGAACAGCCTTTAGAAAACCCACACACTTCTTTGATCCTTTGCTGAGCCACCCTGGTTGGTGGCAGTCAGGATGTCAAATATAATAGACATGGCAGCCAAACTGTGTGTTACTTTAGGATTTCTTGTCTTTTTTACCAATTTAGAACATGTGTTGGACAATACTGGCTTAAATGATAGTCTGAGAGTCTTTACAAAATATTGACAAGTTTGAACATCTTTGAGAAAGGTAGTCTTCAGGAAGAAAGAAGTACATAATTTCAGACTTATTTATCTAATTCTCTATACAGGTATACAGGTATAATTCTGAACACATAAGTGAAAAAAAAGTGTAGCATTAGGGATTTACTTRCTGCTGGTAGCTTGGGGGGGACCAATGCCACTCAGGCAGCAGTTTCAAAATCTAAGGTGGCTCTAAACCCAAGAAGTATTTTTTACAGTATATTTACATAAAATCCACAGACAAGGTAAACAAAGATTAATGTAATGCAAAGGTATTTTACAGGTSCCTCCATAAACCATTTTTTAAATGGGATTATCATTCGGTTTATTTTATTTTTTCATTTAGTTATGTTTTTCTGTGTATATGATTTAGTGAAATAGCTAAGACATGTTTCATTAATGCACAATTTAACAAAGCAATTTCACATTGTTAAARTCAGTTGATTTAGTGATTAATGTATTTGTTATGCTTGCAGATAAAGAATACATTTATATAGGGTATATTAGTGTAAATAATTACTGATTTACTTGGATGCTGATACAAATCCTTTTGCCATTGTGATTCATAGTTTATAAACAGTGAATTAAATGTCAGGGATTTATTGGAGAGAAAAATTGTAAAGTTTGTAGCATGAATGAAGCAATGTATGATTTGCCACAGTAAAAGAGTGTGGCTGAAATTGTATGATGAGATAAAGAYAGTGAATCCATGGTGATTATTTCAAGTTTACACCTATCTTGAACACTGTGTACAATTTTTTTTCTGTCTCTTCTATTTTTATCTTTAAGAGGTGAGAGTTTTATTGCTTTCACTTCACTTCTTTCTCAGATGAGGTGTTCTGTGTTGGAAGCTCAGCATAGATACCATCTCTTGCCAATCTTGCATTCCTTATAATGATGATTTACACAAGAACAGTCATATTTTGCAAATTTTGTGTTGTTTGTCCTTTGTAAGGATAAGGATACMCATTTAAAACTATGCCCTTTGGTAGGTAGTCTTAATGGGAAACACCTTATTTAATGTGGACATAAAATTTCAGTATCTTGTAAATATATTAAAAAAATAAAAGTCAGAGACATCGGGGAAGAGAAATATCTGCTTCTAAGTCTTAAAATTATAGTAAAAAAAATTTACGTTGTGACTCAGATTCCAAATTCACTGAGGCATTTTGAAAATTCAATTTAGATTTTCTTTCTTCTGGCATAGTTTCAAGGTAATTCTTGATAGTCTTTTCCCTCCTTCAGCATTCACTGCRGTGAAGTAAAGGAGTGTCATTAGAGTTTTCTTTGGAGAAATGGAGTCTTTCTGAAGCATGGGACAATTTCTCCAAGTCAGTTTTGTGATATCTAGTGGCTTTATCCCTTAATTATGTAATGGTGACAAGTAAACAAAGTAACACTGTGTTTTTCAAATTAATAATTGATAAATTGTTTTAAAATCACATATGTAATGAGTAGTATCAATGATAAATATGCAGTTGTGTCAGTATATTTCAGGATACCTTTATCTTCATTCTCTGTTAGCATTTGTGTCAATATATTTCAGGATACCTATATCTTCATTCTCTGTTGGCAGGATAAAATGGGGTTGTAATGCTTTTTGCTGCTGTGATCCCATTGCTGAACCCTTCCTTGAGGGGGAGGTGCTGATACCTCCCTGGTGATCAGCAACAGGACATGAGGAAATGGAATGAAGTTGCATYGGGGGAAGTTCAGATCAGACATCAGGAAAAGGATCTTCACTGAGARTCGTTGGTCAGTGGAAGAGGCTTCCCAGGGCATGCCTTGGTCAYGGCACCAAGCCTGTCAGAAGTCCAGGAGCATCTGAATGATGCTCTTAGTCATGTGGGTTAGTTCCAGGTAGTCCTGTGAGGAGCAGGGAGTTGAATTCAGTGGTCCTTTTGTCTGCTTTCCAAATTGAGATAATCTATGATTCATTTTATTGCTTAAAACAGACAGTGCTGTTTTAACAGAAGAAATCATCGTTGGAATTTCATCAATTAGCTCTTGCCTTAAAACCAAATTAAACCTAAACAACAAATGTTTTGTGTCAACAATTGTCTAAGTAATGCTGCATGTCTGAGCACTCTCATTTGACTCTTAGAACCTATTTGGGACAGAGTGATTAGGAAACTCTTTGATAAACACCAGCAAAGCCTGTTGCCACCTAGGAAAAGACAGGAGGCATTCAATTCCCTGAATTAGGCATCCARAAATCCCTGGCTTTTTGTCTGCCTAGTTATAGGAAAAGCTAAGACATGCTGAGTTACATCCCTAGGAGCTCTGTAGGTGCCTTTGATTGCTAAACAAGAAACTTAAGAGCATGGAACTTGATTATAGGGTCCTGATGTAAGTGCTCTGAATTTACTCTGGGTTATTTTTGCACTGTGCTCTGAAGTATTGTASCAATACTGTGAATTTTCAAAGTAATACTTAATTCAGTTCACTTTCAAGAATAGGTGTGCCAGTGTATATCTTCAGGAATCAGTATATTCAAATACAGTTCAAAGTTTTTGTCAACCGAATATTATTTGATGGATTAGTATGGTTTTTTTTTTTACAAAGAATTCAAAAATTTTTCTTCCTTTTTTCTTCCCCTTCACTGCAGACAATTGATTTAGAGGGGTTCAAGCTTTTCATGAAGACTTTTCTGGAGGCAGAGTTACCAGATGATTTCATTGAACATCTTTTTACATCATTTAGGAACAAAATCTCTCACTGCAGCCCGYTAATAAAAAATAAACCACAGCACCTTTCTGGAGGTAAGTAATAAAATCAGTAATATGAAAGCTAAAGTTTCCCTTACCCTGCTGTTTTACTTCTAATAGCTGTAAATAYGTGGAATTCTAAACTGCATGCTGAGGATTTTTTGTTCTGGTGTTTGTGAAATTAAACTAACTCAACCATAATATAAAATACTGTGAAAAAGAATGGAAATTAAATGTTTCATCTTTTTAAWTCACAATAATGATGCAGCTGAGACACCAAGTGGACATTGTTTGTCATGTTAATGCTAATCAGATTGCTATGGTTACACGATCTTGTTGCCTACTCCCCTGTATAAACACTTGGAAACCTTCAAGCTTCATGCAGGAGGCTTCTGCTGGTGCTCTACTGTTTCTGTGCCAGTTGCTGCTGCTTCTCTTAATGTTCTAGCTATGATTCTGTTGTTATTAATCCTACATCCTTAGCAGCTACTGAGATTTTAGATGTTGGGTCAGTGTTAGTATATCACTAAAAGTGATTTTCAGTTCAGAGAGCACGGCATACAAAACAGTGTTAAAAACTGTCAACTAAAAATTTTATAAAACCTTGCTGAAGAAATTTGTSGTTACTTTCCTAACTTGAAATACTYGGTTTAGTTCTTCACCAGTTTGTTGAAAAAATCCAGTACCTGAAAGCAGAAGCTAATTCATTGAAATAGTCTTAAATKCTTAGACAGTGTACCAAATGATTTGATAGGAACTTAATTGCTTAAATTCTTTATATGAAGATTAGGTGTCTTCAAACTGTATGTCGTCCAGAAATTGTTTATTTGATACACATGCTACTAGCTGAAATTTTATRTTTTCCTGCAAATACCAAGCACTCGCTTTTCATAGATGTCTCAGTGTATAATACTAATTATAGCCTTTCAGATATTGAATCTGACTTTTTTAATTTTAATTCATGCCATTTTCAACTGTTTTATATGGATGGGTTTCAGTTTTCTTATTTAAGTTTACAGCACTTGTTGCTTCCACTTCCTAGATTTATATTTCCTCAAAAAACCACCAACCAATGAACCAACCAAGCAGAAACTACATTTACATTATCATCTTCTATTTAAACGGTCATTAYATTTACTTAGATTTAGCTAGAAAAAAACATTATTTTCTGCTGGCAAAGCTTACCCACCACATCAGTGGTGGTATGATTTTTCGTAAATACATGGGGTTTTTGTCTGCATTCCCTCACATATTCTCAGCCTCCTCCACTGGCAAAACTACTGTGACAACTACATTTGCTTTTATTTCTTCTTAAATATGTTTTCACAGAGGCATAACCACCATCTCCAATTGGCCCAGGTTTGGTCAGTGGCATGTCCATCATCCTCAGAGCCAACAGCAATTGTCTCTGCTGGACATGGTGGAAGCCTCCAGAAGCTTCTCACAGGTGCCATCTTTTTGGCCCCCCCCCCACTTCCAAAAACTGGGCCAAGCAATACCAAMACATTATGGAATATTAAAAAACTTCTTCTGCTAATTTTTCATGTCTGAAGGGGTTAGTCAAGCCATTTAGACCAGTAATTTTACCCCTTGCCCATAGAAATGCTTTGTAGTGGAATCTCTAAGAGCATGTCTGAATGTATTCTTTATTGTATGTTGCAGTGTATATATTGGCTGGCATAAAATTTCAACATTTTTTTYGATTATGAATATAGATTCTGTTACCTATAAAGACTCAGCAGAACAATTTMATTTCAACTTTCACTCCTTTTAACTTTCCATTGTGTTGACATCATGATTTCATCAATGAGTAGCGTCAGCACTAAAAATGAACCACTCACCCAAATTTGTACTCACTTTTTGCCTGATGAGTCCAATAGCAGCTGCTATTTAATGGTGCATAAATATTTATTRTTCTGTCACATATATTTTCTGATTACTATTATTTAAAAAAATAATCTTTTATGATTCCAGTATTGTATTTTTATGCAATACTGGAATGGCAAGAATGACAGCTGTGGTTTTAGGTCTTGTCAGATTTACAGTTAAATTCTGCCCTGAATAGGTTGTACTCAGCTTTTTTTCATTTTCACTGTAGTTCTCTTTGATATATTTTATTTTTATGYGTAGTAAAATGATAAAAATGATAATTGTATAACATTATTAAGGATGGTGCTGTTATTGTTGTTTAAACTGTATGTTAAGTTTCTTATTCTAATGTTGCATTCTAAATTTTTTTTTCTCCTACACTGACTTTCCCCAGTTTGTAATSAGTTTTCATCTTCTTCTGTTACTAAGTACTTTAGAAATAATATAAAGTGATACCAGCTTAGGAAGCTTCCATATTGTTTTTCTTTGGATAAATTGTTAGATCCAAAACATGTTCAGAGAGGCTGTTTAGTTCACCTCATGCAAGAATTGCTAGTGCTTGAAAATATACTGGTTTTGTAGTGTAATTCGATTTCATGATTTGAACTAAATGTTTCTATCTGATAATTTGGAACATTTAAAGGGAAAAACTGTGCTTTGGTATATTTTAATGTCCAATTGGAAATTATGGAAATCCTTGGTTTTGGATATCTAGTATTTTTTAAATGTTACCAATAGTGAAAAAAACTTGACTGTACTTGAAAATAACTTTGTCAGAAATGTTTGASATTCTTCTGGAGAATGGAAGGGTAAATGAGAGTTAGAGAAAATGACAAGGGAAGTAGCAGGATTAATCAATCTCTCAGGTATGTGTTTGGTTTTCACTTAGYCTCTTTTGGTCCACTCATGTCTGTTTATAAATTGTATTTTCAGTTAAGGTGTCTGAAGAGAGATGGAAACAGATGCCAGGTAAGCAGCAGGACTGGAAGTCATCTGTAGGTCYGTACATTGCAACCAATCCTTCCCMCCTCTGATTATGAAGTAATAATTTAACTGTACCTTGCAGCTGATGATAAGTTAAAAGAGACCTTAAAATTTGGGGKTTTTTTTCATTTGGATTTCAGGACTGTTTATTTTTGGGAAGAGTTATCCCAGGTTTTATAATCCTATTTATTGTGTGAATAAGATTTACATAAGACTGGAATATGATCTATTTGTGTAAGTTATGTGATTRAAGCTAGCATTTAGCTGAATAAAATGATATAATGTCTTAATTTTAATGACATTTAACTGACATGCAAGATCATTAAATAGAACGTTGCTTTGAAATATTTTTATTAATTTAAATATTTAATTTAGTGCTTATTCTTTGCCTGAAACAAGGGAAATTATATTGATTTCAAGATACATTTTTTGCATGCCAATTTGCTCATTTTTACCTAAATTTTTTTTTTGCATGTGTACTTTGTAACATGTAGACCCACCTTTTAAAAGATAGGCTTTTGAAGATGTCTCCAGATTGAAAYGAAATTTTTCAAGCTAAATTTGGGGGGAGAGAGGCAACCCTCAATCAGTGAGAAATGTAACAAACTTGTAAAGAAAGTTTTGTTGCTTCTTTCTCTRTGTTCTGTTGTCCTTCCCATTTTTTTCCCATTTTGGTCTTGCAGGTTCCAGTAATATCAATCAGGACTGGTCATACTAATGTTGTCCTGAAACAAAAAGTTTGGCAATTTTTAAACTTTTATTCCAAGTGGTACCCTGGAACTCCTAGAAATAACAATATCTGAGCAATTATTATAAMTATTTTTTWAATTCTGTCTTTATTTTCTCARTAGTCTGTCACTGACACTTCCATGTTTTAAACATGTGCTGCACTGACCCAGATCTGGCTGTGTTTTTGGGATAAAAATACATTTGGGTATCAGAAGAGTTTTCTCTAATTAGTGTAATTGTCAATCAGTAAACTAAATGAAGTTTCTGCAAGCACAAGGAAGTGGATGCTGAATTGGGTAGGGATTGTTTTTAATATTTGGCATCTAGTATGGTCGAATACAGATATGCACCAAATTGTTTTGTAGTTGAAATAAATCAGAT